TCGGGAGCGAGGTGAAGGCGCTATGGCTTGGCCATGGCGATGTTGACATGGCGTGCAGCTACGATGCCGCCATCAAGTACGTGGAGAACCAGGACATCGCAGACAAGGTCATCAAGACGTACAAGGGCGGGTATCATGCGCTGCACCTGGACCTGTGTCAGGATGAGTTTGCAAAGGATGTCGTCAACTGGGTCCTAGAGAGGAGCCCGGATAACAGCAAGATCGAGGCAAAGCTATAGTGTAGCTGCACTGACAACGGTTCTCGTGCTACCTTGATGGAAACCAAGGGTGGGGAACCTGTGATACAGAAGAGCCACTGGGCTCTGGGGTTTCGGGCACCTGTACGATGTGAGCGATGTAGTGAAGCATCACTTGATGTTGTCACACCTTTTTCGTGTATTTTCAGACAAGTTTCATTTATTTCAGAGAGCGATGAGGTGAGATTTTATATGGACGTCAGCACATCACCCTGTGGCTAGCTGAGTTATCTGACTATCGATGGCTAGACCAGCAACTACCCCAGATTTATTACCGTTTCTTGACAACGCAACAACCAACAGACCAATAGATTGAAACGCTGCAGCTGGGTCGTTCTCACGCTATCGATTTGTGATATGGAGTTTCCGCTGGTGAATAAACGTTTCCCGTTGCGTCAGGGGGCGGGGACCCGGGTGGCCCGTATCTTATTCCGAGGACGCCCGAGACCCAGGGCGTTTTCGAGACGCCCGAAACTACGGGACGCGGAGCTCAGCCCCGGCCGTTTTTCGAGGTATTCTCGGCGCCGTTGTGGACTATAATTGAACCTCATCCGCTCCCTAATTCAACGTCTTCTTTGCCCTTTTTTCTTCCACCGTAATATCAACCATTTCTCTCACCTTTCCTACGCCGCTCGGAGGCGACCCTCCGCCCCCAAGCGCTCAGGGCGGGGACTCGCTAACCCCCAGTTGACCCTCACTCAGGTACCCCGCGTCCTTAGCACTATCGCTCCTGCAAGTGCATCTGCGTGGTCCTCTGTTAAGACGCCCGTCGAAAGCGACCTCTGACACTTCGGGCGATCGTCTCCCGGCGTGGGATCTTTGAGGGCCTTGACGCTATTGACGTAAAGACCCAGGCCGTTTATCTTCGCTTCCTCTCCTTGCAATCATGCCCAACCCACGTGGGCGGACCAGAAGACATGGCTCGTTGGCCAGACCGGACCGGGTATGTTTGTTGTGGTGTTTATTAATCGCTTTGCTATCAACCTCGCCTCTCCTTTTGGGGTAGGGATGGTATGGAGGGCCAAGAAATCCATATGACTGATCTTGGCTATTGGTGACGATGGTTTTGGCTCATCGCAACGCTAGGAGAGACCTCTTTTGAGGAGGGGAGAGATACTACTCCGCTCTTTAGGACCTGTTCATCCTCCCACAATATCTTGGCTCTTGTGTTTCCATCTCTCTTCTTGTGTATTTGCATTTTCAGGAGCTTCGTCGTCTTACCCGGTCTTCCGGTCTCCTGCCACATCAAGAAGCCGCATTGTGTCGGTCTTCTCTTCTGGGACAGCTTCCCCTCAAGCTCGTCACCTCACTGACCGCCATCCTCGGCACTTGGATATCTCCCGTTCGCTCGCGTGACTCCTCACGAGCCCTCGCAGCTTCTCAAATTCCCCTCCTCGCAGCTCCCAAGTCGATTGAAAACTGCAATCGCCCATCATGTCTCCCGATAACTCCAGCACCGTCATCCACCACCCACACGCCATTCACCTCCAGTCCATCGATATAGCTCGCAGCAGCTCGCGGAGCTCCAACAACCACCATGCATCCAGTACCGCCTTTGAGCCCGTGACGGCGGACGACAACGAGACCATTGCCCGGAATCCCTCTCACATGACAGATGTCGAAAGCCAGGTCACCGCCACTGGTCGCCGACACCCCAGCTGCCTCGACCCTGACCCATATGGCCTCTCACGGGCGTACAAGACGGATTCGGACCTGGACGAGATCAAGGCCAACACGTCAAGGAAGCGCGGTGGCGCCGTTGGCCGCAAGTGCATCCCCGACAAGGTGGGCTCTAAAGTCACGGCGCGCAAGCTCCAGGGCTTCTACAAGAACCAGAACGCAGCCATTGAGCGGATGCTCAAGTCTGTCGAGGAGCATCGCGACGAGGCCCGCCAGGAGCATGGCGATGATCAGCTCAAGTTCCGCATTGCCGTCTGGGGCTCCTTCGCTGCCAATGTTGTCCTGTCAGCCGTCCAGCTCTACGCCGCCATCTCGTCGGGCTCCCTCTCGCTCTTCACCACCATGGCCGACTCCATCTTCGACCCTCTGAGCAACCTCACCCTCATTCTCTCTGCCCGAGCCATTCGCCGCGTAGATCCCCGCCGCTTCCCCGCGGGCAAGGCCCGTCTCGAGACTGTGGGCAACATTATCTTTTGCTTCCTCATGATTGCTGTCTCTCTCATTATTATTGCCTTTGCTTGTCAGGAGCTGGTTCAAGAGAAGGATGATAAGAAATTCTACCTACCCTCTGTTGTCGCCGTCTGCTGCGCCTTCGCTACCAAATTTGCCCTCTTCCTCTACTGCTGGGCTCTCAAGGACAAGTACAGCCAGATCAACATTCTCTGGCAAGATCACCGCAACGACCTTCTCATCAATGGCTTCGGTATCCTGACATCTGTCGGTGGTGCCAAGCTCCTCTGGTGGATTGACCCCATGGGCGCCATCCTCCTGTCGGTGCTCATCTCTGGTATCTGGCTGGGCACCGCCTTTGGAGAGTTCCTCCTCGTCGTCGGCGTTACAGGCTCTGTCGAGATGCAGCAGCTCATCACGTACGTGTGTGTCACTCACTCGGACGCCATCCAGGGCATCGACACGGTGCGGGTATATCACTCGGGCCCGCGTCTGATCGCCGAGGTCGACATTGTCATGGACCCAACCCAGACGCTGCAGGACAGCCACGATGTGGCCGAGGCGCTGCAGTTCAAGCTTGAGGATCTTCCTGACATTGAGCGAGCGTACGTCCACATTGACTACGAAACGACACACAAGCCAGAGCACAAGTTCAAGAAGGATCTGTAGTTCTAGCTGCGGAATGTGTTTTCAGGGGATGAGGGCGTCTTGAGAGTGGTTGAGGAGCTTAACAAGCTCGTATTGGGTGTTGAAATGTGGTTAAAGGGGTCATGGTGGCTTGAGACATGACCCAAGAGAGACAGGAGAGCTGAGACACCGCAGTTGAACACACTGGCAGATTCAGCTCTAGAACCTAAGTGTAAGATGGGGAGATGACATGCCGAGAGCAATAGACGTAGCTCTCGAACCAGTCAAAGCCAGCTCGAGAGCAGGCAAAGCGTGTAAATTATGGACCGACTTTTTAGAAAACAGGAAAGAGATACCATCATTGATGCAACTTTAGCTCACGTGGACCATGCAGGTAAGATCGTGTGATGCGCAAAGATCGACCTAATAGGTAGATGAAACAGGCATCGTCGAGATATCTTTGATGCGGGTATGTGGGCGCATTGCAGATCTCGGCATATTGGGGTCCGGGGTAGTTCTGAGAACGAGGCTTCCCTGTCTAAAGGAAGTGAGATGGACTGGCATTGGCATGGGCAAAAGACGCCTCCTCTCGGATGTACTTGGCCCGATTAAACATGGGATGTCTCGGAGAGGAGAATCTCACGCGTGGCGCAAGAGACCTCAGGGTAAGATGTCCATGTCTGCAAGAAAGAGACGTCACAGCATTTCGACTGGCATATGAGAGGAGATTGGATGTCTTTATAAGGGATGAAGAGAAAGAGGGGGCTCTGCAGCGCGCAGTGGTCGTATATGCGGTGTTAGCATCCAATCTGCAACATCGATCAAGGGAAAGATGACTAGGAATGGGTGAGATTGCGTATCCAGACCGGGCAAGCCTTGTTGCTTGATGCTAGGGCGCGTCGCATACTTGCAGCGGCTTACAAGGGGAACATGACCAGTTTGGGATGAATGCAGGAGACGGCTCAGGCCGAGGGCAAGGACTACGCCATGCTGTGTATGATGTGAATGCATCAAGAGGAATTGCGAATTTGCAAATGTACAAGTTCCGTCGTCTACTCCGTAATCCAGGATAATTAGCATGCACATCAGATGAAAGGAATTCCATCATCGTGCAGCCGTTGAAATTAGTGGCGATTTGCTAGAGCCGCTGCCACTGGTCAAAGCCCATTTCCATCTCGGCCGGGACTCGAGCCTGCCAGGGGGTACCAACATATCGTACACTGCCTGCTGCAACTCAACTCTGTATCCTACCTATTCACAGACGCACTGCTACCCTCAGACTTTGACCTCGTCGGCGCTTCTAGAACGTCCCTGTAAATAGTGGCTTGCAGCAGAGTTTCTGGTCCCTGAGGGAGGAAAAACTTCGCTGAAGCTTGTCCAAATTGCAGGGAGCGGTTTGGCGTTCATGCCTGCTTGTGGGGGCTTCCTGCTCCACTAGAAAACGGCAATCCCTGCGCCTCTGCCCCACAGGAGCTCGCTCGGGTAGCAGGCGCAAGGTTCCTAGCCAGGTTCCCCCTCCAGGGCCATGATCGGATCATCACATCACCATCCATTGCTACTGCTGCTGCTCCCGTTCTCTCTCTTTACCATCCTCTCTGTTATCACGTCACGTCTCGCTTCCAATCTTGTTCCTCTCTTTTCCGACAAGAGAGTCCACCCGTCGATACGAGGGCATTTTTACAATATTCTCAAACGCACTAGTTGTTAATTCGCTAGCTTTTTTTTCTTTCTTTTTTTTTTTTGAACCCAAGTCAAAGCTTCCGAGGGACGTCCTCTGCCTTGACTGACGACGACTCCTCGGCTTCTCGACGCGCTCCGTCCGTCAACCGCGACACCCCGTTAAACCTCGCTCCCTCCGACTCCCTCTCAGCATCTCCTCCTCTCGAGCTTCTATCCATGCGTTGCTGACCGGCATATTCAATCTGTAGCTGACCTGGGCGGATTGCTCCCGAGGTTTGTCTTACAGCCAAGGTCAACTCAGTCGCAATGGCCGCTTCAGGTGCAGGCGGGGAGCAGATCTATGCTACGGTTCGTCCCCTATCCGCGCCCTCCGAGCTATTCGGAGCTCTCATCCGACTTGGATATCGGCAAGCTGACTCTCAAATAGCTTCTTCTGAGCGATTCCTACCTTCCTGGTCCGTCAATTACTTTCAATTAGCTTCCGCGCCCTCTCGACATCTCGCTGACCCTCCTCCAGGTGCCCTGGTTCTCGCACACTCCCTCCGCGATGCTGGAACTCATCGCAAGCTGGCCGTTTTGGTCACGCTCGACTCTGTGTCTGCTGATTCCATTACCCAGCTAAAGGTGAGTTTCCAATGCCCTAGGTTTTCCGGATTCGCCGATGCCAACTAACCACCCCCCTAGGCGGTTTACGACTACATCTTTCCCGTCCCGCGCATTCGCAATGACAACCCAGCCAACTTGTACCTTATGAATCGCGGCGATCTGCATTCAGCCTTTACCAAGATCAATCTTTGGAAGCTCACGCAGTTCTCAAAGATCGTCTACATCGACGCCGACATTGTCGCATACAGAGCTCCCGATGAACTCTTCGATATCACCCACCCATTTTCTGCCGCCCCCGACATTGGATGGCCAGATCTCTTCAACACGGGTGTCATGGTTTTGACACCCAACATGGGTGATTTCTATGCCATGATTGCAATGGCTGAGAGGGGTATCTCGTTTGATGGTGCCGACCAAGGTCTCATCAACATGCATTTCGGTAACCAGTACAACCGCATCAGCTTCACTTACAACGTCACTCCATCTGCCCACTACCAATACGTCCCAGCGTATCGGCACTTCCAGTCCAGCATAAATATGGTGCATTTTATTGGCGCCAAAAAGCCATGGTTTACTGGTCGAGACGCTCCTCGCGGGGCCGATCCCTTCAATGACATGGTAGGACGATGGTGGGCAGTCTATGACAGGCACTATAGGCACCAAGTAGGTTGTTGACATTTTGCGAGCCGCGGGATCTGGGTTTGTTAACATGGTTATCTAGGAGTCTGCTCCAGAAAAGGTACCTCCTGCTCCCGAGTATGTGCAGTACTTTACCAAGGGCGAATGGCACCCTGAGCCGACACACGGGCAGCCAGCTGCTGGTGAGCACCATTCCCATGACCAACAGGGTTCTCCTTCTGGTGGGCACCATCCTGAGCATCAACCGCATCATGGTGGGGATGATCATGGACATCAACACCACCCACAAGATTCTGGGCATCATCATGAGCAACATCATGACCAGGGCTCTCACGGTGGAGCTCCAGCTCCTGGTCCCCAGGGCGAACAAGCTCAGCATCAGCACTACTCGGAGCACCACGGTACCGAGCATCACCACCATGAAGGGGCGCCGCATGTGCACCAACATACAGAGCCAAAGAATGAGCCTCCCCCTATTACGATGCACAGTTGGGATGCTCAAAGGTAGGCATAGTGTTTGCAGCCCTCCAGCCCCCGAGTGAATTGCTAACCTTGTTAGACAACCACCTCCCTCCGACTCGAAGCCTGAAGCGATGAACTTCCCATCAACGCATTACGAGATGTCCCAGGACACAACCCCGTTCGTCCCACCCGAACGATACCCGAGTCCACCAAAGAATATGTGGTACGAGGTCCCCAAGGAGCCTCCGGCCCCGCCCACCAAGGAACCTTCTGAGATTTTCCCCTGGGAGCGCAACCGACCACCCCCGACAAGAAGTTTTGCAGAGCCCCCTGCACCAGCGCCTGTACCAGAGCCTGTCGTCGAGCCCACGCCACAGCCCTGGGTAGAGCACACGGGAGGGCCTTCACACCAACCTGGAGGCGAACATTCATGGCAACCCTCCGGACAACCTTCAGGGCCACCCTTGGGCCAGCATTCGGTGCAACATACGGTACAACAGCCAAGACACCAGCCAGGACAACAGTCAGGACAGCCATCTGGAGAACACTCCAGAGAACCTCTGGTGGAATCTTCGGCAGAATCTTCCACAGGACCATCTGCAACAACGGAGGTCCTTACTGAATCCGCTGGCGTAGCTTCGTCCACAACCGAAGCAAAGAGTGAGCCATCCACGCCAGTCACGCCAACCGTTCAGATCATTCCATCCGATCCCTGGACGTCATTCACGCGTGTCAATGCCTGGGATGAGGTCCCAGAGATTGAACGTTATGTTGACGGTCTGCGCGGCCACCGACGTGGCAAGAGTTCGGGCTCTCTTGGGCGTATCAAGAGCCCATCGACTGCCCCATGGAGAGATGACCGGGGTGGTGTGAGGCTTCGTGGTATGAAGCTCACTGATTTCCCCAGCGCAGCGGAGCGTCCGAGTCTGCCAGTGACACCAGCGCCGATCCACCGGCAGTCGTTCTGGTCAGGAGATGATGGGGAGCATGGGGGCTACGGAGGAGCAAGGCAGCTTCCGGAAGCTGAGGGGGTGCCGTCGCAGTCTGACTGGGTATGTGTGCATGGGAGACGATGGGGGCCTGCAGACTGCCTGTGTGAGTTGACTGACTTGGTGCTGCATCACCAGGATCCATTGGCACAGCTTCAGAAACTGGCCAAGCAGCACGATGTGTTGCTGAAGAAGCTCGGTGGTGGGGATGAAGGCGAGGAGCGAGAGAGCGGTGAGGGAGGTGTGAGTCGCGAGATCCCATCACGCCCATTGCCCTTTGGTTCCGAGGATATAAGGTCACCTACTTATGTTGCGCAGTCGGCCACAGGAGTGCTCAGCCCCCAGCCGGTAAAAGGCGAGAGGTCGGCGAGCATCCTGCGGGAGATGAGTAGTAGCAGCGGCCTTGAAGCCACGACTTCGAACCCGTTATCGATTCCCGAGCCGAGCTATTCAGGACCCGGGGCAGCATGGGAGAGGGGAGAGGACTTCTTGGAGCGCGAGACCCCATTGCCACCGAGGGATGAGGACTTGGATGTGCTCGAGACATAGGAGGAGGTGATTTTGGGGTCGACTAACACTCTTGGACTGGAAGACATGGACGCCTCTGGAGATGAGATGGAATGATTAATGCGCACCGTTTCAATGGACAAACATGGGAGCAGGTATAGGTACAGGTATGGCGGAATTCTTGGGTAACCGTACCGCGGATACGGGTGTTTTCTTTGTCAATTGCCCTCTTGGCTTACCTTGGTCACCTTTCTTTTTCTTTCTTCTGCTTTGTTTCGATGCTCATGGTCAACGGGGGAGGAATAGCAAGGAGGAGGAGGAGGGTATATTTTGTCTCGGAATGTCGACACTATGGAAACGTCTCTTTAGGAGTCATCAAGAGCAGGAAGCATATTTCTCTTTGAGCCATTGCCGTTTTGATTCACTCGACTTGCCTGTTTTCCTCCTTCATTGCATCCTGCATCTCTCTGCTGTGTGTTTTTTGTTTTTCACTTTGGTATGTATGTTTCGATGCATTGTTTGTCTTTGCCCCCTGACTTTCCACATTTGCATCATCTCCTCTTTTTTTTTTTTTTACTCATCAATCAGCATCCCGTCAACTGCGACGACCAATGGCATCATCATCATCGTCATAGGAGTTTCTGGGTCATGTCGAGATTTGATGTATAGTACGGATTACTTTCGCATGTCCAGCGTTGGAAGATGTACAATATTCGATTCGGCAGTCACAAAACTTGTATTCTTGAGTATTGCATTAAGTTATACTATCAGTTCAACCAAATGATGTCAAGTGTGGATATGTGTTACGCGGTGTATAATACCATCAGGTATAAAGAGTGAATGACCTGATCACGCTTCTCATTCTGCTATGTCTTGTCTCTGATACAACCAATATCCATGATTCTACAACCCCATCCATCCATCATCTTGACTACTGTTTAGTCATGTGTGTACACAACAAGCCCCCATACAATCAAGCAAAGAAAATCAATATGAAAAAAAAATGACGAAAAAACTCCCCCGAAACGCCGAGTTCATGTCGCTACTTGGAGTAAAAGATGTGGGTTTTGAGCTCATTAATGAGCCAACTGAGTATGTATGTATGCATGTAGTGGGTATGCTGTTGTAGAGAGAGAGGTAAGGAGGGAAGCGCATCTAACTTTTTCAGTTCAATCAATCACCATCTAATCCTCCCTTCGCTCGCTGCTGGTGCCCTCTTCACTTCTAGCCATGCCCTCCTCGTCATCTACATCCTCAACAGTCACAGCTCGGGCCTTTCCCTTGGCGGGCTTCGTCTCTGGCAAGTCGTCCGAGTCACTTGACTGCGCCGACGAATCATCTTGCTGCGTCTGCTGGTGAGACTCTGCCTCCGGGTGGGCTAGCTGAGAGGATGGATCAACAGGAGCAGCTTGGCCTGCAGTCACCTGCGGCTCGTTTCGAGATACCGAATCAGCCTGGTCCAGACGAGCGCCGTTTCCAAACAGTTGAGCCGACCCCCCCCAGTTAGGCATGCGAGGGCTGGGTGCAACTACAGTCGGAGGGTCCACGGCGCGCATAAACTGAGAACTGAACTGAGGGGGTTGGGAAGAACGAGGGATGGTAGTCTCGGGGGCAGACACCGACGAGCTGGGTTCAGTCGATGCCTGGGCGTCGTTGCTTCCACTTCCACTGGGGGACGGCTGTCTGGCAGTAGGCGTAGGTTGAGGTACATTGTTACCATCGGCCACTGTCGCCTGAGGCCCAGCCTGAGGCGAGGGCTGAGTCGAGCTCTGGCCCCCATCTAGCCTATGCAGGGGCAACAGAGACCAACCAGGCGGGATGACAACACCCTCTGGGAGGTCGGTGCTTCCAGCGGGAATAGGCACGGCATTGGCAGGTGCGCCGTGCCGGGCCATGAGAGGGCTCGAGTTTCGTGGAGGGATGGTGGGGAATGAGGGGAAACCAGGTGGTTGGGTCACGGCCACTTGAGGTGGCATCTGATAGTGGTGATGATGATGGGGGACCAGGGGAGGTTGCGTCGTGGGAAGAGCAGAGGAGGGCGCCGACTGGGGCTGGCCACCCTGCAGTTGCTCTTGAGGCTGCTGATGTCTTTGACGGAGGCGTTGAAGCTCAGCCTGGAGCAGATGGACGGTTTGCAATTCTTGCTGAGCAACCTGAAGGGACTGCAGCTCGCGTTGAATCATCATATCCGCTTGATACAGCAGAGTCCCAATATTCTGAATGTTGTCTCCAGTGAGCGGCTGAGGAGTGGCCGGGCCAGTCTGGACAGCAGGGTTGGGAGTAGCAGCGGCTGGTGTAGGAGGGGCCAGGCCTTGGTTAAAGGCAGCTTGAGGCATACCGAACTGCTGAGCAAGCTCTCGCACTTGCTGGCCGTTTGCTCCAAATCCTATCCGTATGGGGCCGAAGTTGAATATTCTCGGCCCTTGGCGCTGTTCAGGTGCGGCTCCATCCCCGTTCTGCTGCCCCTGAGCTGCGGCATTTCCAGCATCTGCTGGGGCTTGCTGGTTTGCAGGACCCCTACCTCCAAGCTCAATCCGAAGTCCGGCTGCTCTGTTCTCGGCTGCTCGGGCATTTTCGTTGAGGCTAACGGGGCGACGGCAGATGGGACAGGCTTGTTGGCGTTCAAGCCAGCTCTTGAGGCAACCAAGGTGCAGAATATGCCCACAAGGAAGCTTCTTGGGTCGGACTCGGTCAATCGTGTCTGGGTTATTTTGGGGATCCCAGAGTTGCATGTCCTCACGACAAATGATGCACGTGTTCTCTCTTGCCAGATCCTCCTCGGTAGCGTCGGGATATCGATTCATCTCTTGAACGGCCTTTCGGTATCGCAGCAGAGCTCCAAGCCTCTTGATAAAGTCCCTTGAGGTCATAAACAAGTCCCTCATAATGTGGATGGGGAGACCATAGAAAGCAAGGAGCATAAAGAAGAAAGCCACGTAAATGCCCAGCTTCATCATATCTAGTTTCGTCAGTATTGCACTTGGATTATAAATCGATAATTCTTACCGCTGATGAGGTCCAGCCAGAGCACGAATTCTCCCTTGGCTGACCATCCTGGCACCTCGATATCCATCTCTTCAATATCGTCTGGGTTGGGCAGAGGTTCATCAGACACCTCCTCGCCTGCTGCCGCCGCCGCCTGCCGTTGCTGAACAATAGTATCCCGTTCCCTTTGAACCTCGGCCCTCCGCGCAGCCAGACGCCTGTGCTTCTGTGTCTCTTCAATGCGCTGCTCCACCAGGGAGAGTGCATAGCGGGCCGACGTCCGCCATGAGCAGGTCGCCAGGATGGCAAATTCAAATAGAAACATAAACATCATGTTGGGCTTCGCCTGCTGAATAACCGTGTTGACCGTGTAGCGGAGGATGAACATGTCGTAGGCGAAGCTCAGCAGCAGGGACGCGCTGAGTCGCAAGTGGAAGAGGCGGGGATTCGGAGGTGGTGCCTGCTCGAGCAGCTCGACCCGCGCGTCACCGATCCATCCCCAGATCTTGCCCGTAACCAGGGCGGTAAACATGACGAGGAACCAGGCCCCAATCTCGTCCCGGAAGATGGTCATGGCCAGGCATGTCTCTGTTATCGCAAACCAGGCTCGTTCGGTAAGTTGCTCGACCTCGACGGCGCGGAGGGGGCCAAAGAAGAGGCGGATGAGTCCATAGACGATGCTGCTGTACAGCAGTAGCGAAAAGTTGACCAATACCTGGTGGTTGTGAGGTCAGCATGGGATTACGTCCACGATGAGGGGAGGTCCGGTTTCCGGGACCGCGGGGGGACACATACCAGCAGACAAGAGTTGCTCTGGGCCAAATAGACCATGGCCGAGTAGAAATTGGCGCGCTGGTAAAAGGCCGAGAGCACGATGGTGCCCGCGAGGGCCGTCGAGGCCTGGATGCACAATTGTCAGCGCGGGTTCTAGGTGATCTACCATAGCTCCAGATAGCTTCCCCAAGCTTCCATCAATCAATGGATGGATACTCACCCCAGCATACCAGCCCAGCCGCATCTTGTTGGGCATGGAATCTCCAGCGATAGTGGGATAGCTCTAAAATTGGAAATGGTAACAGATCATTCCCGCATCCCCATTGTCGAAAACCGCGTGTCGCTTGGTGAGTGTTTCGACAAGAGTAACAAAGGCGCCTCTACTGTACTGTACTGTAATGTGCTTCTTGATGCCACGTTAAGCAGAGCCAGAGCCAGAGCCACACGAGCGATGACGCAGGGGTGGCGGGCCGAGGCACGTGATGCTTATCGCACCTTCTGAGTTCGCAGTGAGGGCTGCCGGTATTTACCCGCTTGGTCATCAAAATCCGCAGGGACCTGGTTGATTGTGAGGAGCTTACCCTAAAGCCGGGGACGAAGAATGAGTTTCTGACAGGTTGAGCAGAACACTTCAACTTTAACTTACATACCCCGACAATCCACTGTCTGGTATGAGTTAAGCTGAATCATACACTTGGATTTTCATGTGAGTCGAGTCCGGATTATCCGGCCTCGTTGTTCAATTGCTGATTTCAGTTTGCTGTGCTTCGTCTAAGTGAGTTCTGTTGCCAGAGCTTCATACAACATCCGCCATGGCAGCCCCGATACTCACACCAGCATTACTTGCGGCAATCAGAAAACAACCCAATCTACCTCAAAATACGTGGTACTTCATTGCTGCCACGACATTGTCTGCGCTCAATCGGCCAGATGAACTGCCCAATGTCTACAAGCATGCTGTTGAACCAAGTCCTGACATAGCCGAGGCTATACCAGGGCGGGACGAGCAGCTAAGCATATCAAGGCGCATTCGTGAGGCCCTCCTAAAAGCATCTGCAGTTGGAGGCATGCCAAGAGTACGCAAGACGGGAAGACAGAATGCCAAGCACCGAAAACTAACTTCACACATAGACCATCAATGCTCTGCTGACACTCAAGACCGTGACGCCAGAGTACCTCCTCGACGCAACTCCCGGGGACAAACCTTCCCCGAGGTTTAAGGATGTATATCAAACATCTCCATCGGAGGTGTTGGAGCGCGGCCAGACCTTCTTCAACCAGATATACGGCAAGATCTCCAGGCGTGTGATGGGACAGATGGACCGCTCAGGAGCAGAGGACCTAGGCCTGATGGCGAGACTGACGTATGGTTACGTCCTCAGCAACACGGATATCCTCACGCCAGCAGAAACTTCATTCGTGCTCATCGCCAGTCTTATACCACAAGACGTGAGTGAGAAACTTCTCATCAGACTTCTCTTGGCCCACCTTGGACACTATACTGACTGGTCTACCCTAGGTCAACCCTCAACTCAAGGGTCACTTGCGGGGAGCGCTCAACGGAGGAGCCAGTGTAGAGGAAGTAAGGGCAGTCAGAGATGTGGTGATAAAGATCTGTGAGGCGTCTGGTATGAAAAGGCTCAGTGAAGATGCCGTCGGGGGATGGGGCTGGAGAAGTGAAGTCGCAACTGTATAGAAGCACACACATGAGGCACCATTGGATATGACCACGGCTTGTTCGCATGTCTACGACATACCCTGAACCACCCATCATGGGTGTCATAAATCAACATGATGGACCAAACTGCCGGGCCAGTCACGTTGGGCGTACAACCCCAGATGCGTGTCATGATAATAACGGAAGTGTTATATGTCATGCATGCAACTTCCCGTCGATCATAATCGATCATGCCCCATCTCATTATCGCAAGCAATAACCACACGAATGTCCATTCCAGGAAATTCATTGCGCACGTAGCACATACTCACTCTGAAAGAATCTTCAGTAAGCATAGGGTTCCATTCTTCATACGGGCCCGTATGATGGATAGCGCTCCGTTTCATGTGCAAAACGACCGCAAAAAAACGTCTGTGTCTCTCTGCCCCTCTGTGGAGGAGCGATGGCAGTTGAGTTGCCTTGCTCCCCGGGCAGTTGGGGCTCTGCTCGCCAAAGTTTGCTGGAGGACGGAATGAGTTCCGCAGTTAGGCGAGCCTGCGCGTAGATCTAGGTGTTGGAGTTCCGAGGTCACGCGCCTAGCCCAGGGTATCGACCAAACGAGTTAACTGCAATGAGGAAAGGATGAGCTTGCGAACCGGGGGTCGGGGGGCCGGAGAGTTGGAGAGGGGCGGCGCCGGGGGTGGCAGCCGGGGCGCGAGCCAATGTCCAATGCCGCTTGCTACCCGCAGATTCGAGGCAATCGAGGCCAGCCATGGCCAAATTCGGGCGCACCATGGTCCTGGTCTGATGCTGCTCAATGCTGGTTCGCTGCAGGGGACCCTCGACATCTCATCGACAGGAGCTTCCCGTGGCCAAAGGCAAACTTTCAACCGTCGGGGGGTTGAGACACTGCTTGACGAGTCGAGACCAAGAAGACGCCTGGGGGAATTGACGCGGATCGCCACGTCAGACTCTCCTCAACGGCCTGCTGTACTGTATTGTATCTGCCGGATGTATCTCATCAGACTGAGAGGAACCCCCACAACACCTGGTAACGCCTAGGTCGGCTGTTGTCGAGATGGGTACCCCAGGCACTTGGTACAATCTCAACCAGAAAGTATCCATGTGTACTCCGTATGCCCCGACAATTGCTTTCGCAAGAAAATCTGGTACGCGGAAAGAATCCTTTGTCCTGTCGATCTCGTCGGATCAAAATCACTTGATCCCCGTCGTCGTCCATGTATCATTGTTTCCAAGTCCGTGGGTTGTTCCTCTGGCAGGCAGACAGCGGAACCACACCGATCGGCCGACCCCAGCACACCAGAGAGCTCCTGATACCGAAAAGGGAGCCTCCCCAGGTCCAGCAACCCAGGCTCCCCTTGCGTCATGCCGACTCTGGGCGGGCAGACTCAGACTCCAAAGACGAGAAAGCCTAGATGTGGGGAACCTCGGGCCCTTGAAGCCATGTCACAGCGCGGTCAAAGGAAAGGACTCAGTGGGACGTCCAACCACACCACAACCCTCTCAATTGCTTCAAGACGACCAGACAAACAACCCACCAGAGCACATGATGCAGGGATCGCTCTGGACCCCACGGCTCGCCGACCAGCCACACCCTCTTTGAGACTCTGGTTGAAGGTCGATAGTGTTGCTCGTAAGCGAAAGCGGCAACTGGGAACCTCCAATAGAGGCAACCATGGCGACTATTTGAGGATGAAGCGTAACATTCTGGTCGGGGAAGGGTCGCATTATTCTCTTGGGCTGCAGGAAGGCTAGGATAAACTGGTTGAACTGCAGCCAAACACCAGGCTTGGACCGACGTCGACTTGCAGCAATAATCTCGGATGCATGGCTGTCCGAGGCTGTCACACACATTCTCTTTGTTCGCTGGGAGTAGCGTATGGCCAGAATTGGCCGGCCATGACAATCGCCAGGGCCGGGGTTTAGAAGAGGACCTACACTCCTCCGAAGGCCTGGTAGTTGGATCCTCGTCCCCCAGCAGGCCCTGTTACGGCTTTCGCCTCCAGAGCGTCTGGGTTTGAAGCCGACAGGGTCCCCAAGGCGCCTCTCGCTGCCAAGGGGCCCATCATCCATTTCCTCGTCGATTGATTCTACACGTGGCCAAGGCCAACAAGAGGGGCGGGCACGTCAAGCCCCCCGATGCTCTATCTTTGACAGGGGGGGACCGGAAGCGGCAAGGCGCGCATCACCCACTGTGTCGGGTCACTCAGGACGAGGTTGCTGCCGACGAATCGACGTGAAACGAACCTCTACCGCCTAGTTCCGCACGCCTCTCCAAGCGCTGTGGACACGCGGGGCCTACCCAGGTCTACCCAGGACAGCGCCCATGGTCTTGCGCCGAGTCTGCCCTCAGGATACTGAGCATTCTGAAGGCTCGAGCTCGCATTGAGTTCAGATACAGCCCGCGCGCGATGGAGCATGGTAACATTCGGTCTTGGTACCCGTAGGATGAACCCGAGCCGCAGATTGTAGATCACTCGGTGTTAAATGCGGCCGCATCTATGTCGCCGATAACCAGCGGAAACAGCTTCTCAAAGAGAATCGAGGTGCTTCATTGAGCACACACCTTCCGAACGGGTTCACTGTGGCAAGAAGCCAACAATTGACAATTGTCGCCAGGCGTGTATCGTGTGCCTTTTCCCTGAGACATGCAGGTCATCAAAGACACGATTAGAGCCCAGTCACACCGTTGCTGCATTTGGAACCGTTAAACCGCGGCTGTCTCGCGGGGGGGATCTCGCTCCATCACTTTGCTTCTCAGGGCCTTGCCTCAATCATCCGACAATTTGGGTGTGGCTTTTATGGCGTTCGACCCGCCCCCTGCTCCTTCACACCATAAAGCATCGCTTGGCCAAGATGGCGTTGAGATATTGCGGTAACAAAGCAAGACTGACCTGAAGAGGACATCGTTCGAGAGCCTTGATGTGCGGAGACGATGCGACACTATGACCAGGTGACGATGTCGTGGTTGAATCTGGACCGAGTCCCAAGTTCCTGGAGTGGTACTGGCGGCCCGACAAGAGATGATTACGAATAGCCATTGTTCCTTTCCCATCTCTTCAACGTTCTAGGCCTCGATCATATTCCGACGCGATTGTGATTTCCCGTTAGCCTGACAGTTAGGCTGGTGGCGCTCGCGTAAGGCCAGTCCAGTCGATGATGTTGGTCGGCAACGGGTTTTCCATGTTGCAAGGCTGCCCCCTGAGTGACGAACGCCTAGACCGGCGCTAGAGACTAAAGTCGAAGCTTGAACAGAATCGTGCTTCAACCTCGATCTTTGGGCGTTTCGACAGACACCAAACTTGCACACGGGCCATGCATCACAAAGGGGGGCCTGGGCCTGGTGGAGTTTGCGGTGTTGTCATGATGGATGGGGTCGACGCCTTCCTGCGCCGAAAGGTTGAATCTCTTCTCGCCGAACACCGGGAAAATGATGGTAGTGGGTCTTCCATCTCTAGTCCATGCCTCATGCTCTTTATCAAGAAAGAGGCGGTGGGCTGCGGTTGAGCACCATCGAGAGAAGTTTGGAGAACGAGGCGTGTCCAATTCTCCGAGTTGGCTTTTTA